GTCCCATTATCTTCCCAGGTGTTTCTCTCTTTTTTTTTTTTACCTCAAATAAAAAAAATTAAAAAATGAAAGTGATGCATGTATGGATATTTTGCACCTGCCCATCTTCAGCTTGCTGCATTTGAAGGTGTGTGAGCAGATGTTCAGCATACACTCTGCATAAACAGATGAATACACATCTGATGATCCCTCTCAGAGGTTCCTGCACCGTTCTAGGCAGTAGCACAAAGAAAAAATATATTCCGTCTATTTTCCTTTCAAAGATATATCATCAGTCACCTATTTTATATATATATATACCAAAACTAAACGGATAACTTTTAGATTTGGTCAATATCCACATGTAACATAATCCTGCTAATAATACATTTTTGAGAAATGTAACAAAATCTCATTACCTTTTTTTAATGTAACTGTAAGGGAATACAGTTACCTTTTTTTTTGTCCTGATTATGTAATCCCGATACATGTAATCCATTGCTCTCAAAGACGTACTGTTTTAATGTCTCGATGTGCCACTTCCTGACATCACACTCACCATATTTCCTTTGATTAATTTCAGATGGATCTTTGATTATGAGTGATGCCTATTACTATGTGGCCAAAATGGAAAAACATCTTCATTAATGCTAAAACTATTTTGGAAATGCTTTTGTTAAATTGTTAAGTGGTAATTACTTATTATGTGATTACACAATGAAAGTTTGTATGACCCCTTTGCAACCCCTTTGACTTAATTTGTGCTGCTGGGCTGCTGATTGAAAAGGATTGCTCCTTCAAATCAAACCAACTCCCTGTATGAGGTTATTTATAAAAAGAACTGCCAGGCTGCAGATGACACACACTGAGAGGCAGAGTGAGGGGGCTGGGAGAGAGAAGGGACCCCTAACCCTGCTTCTGAGGATCTATAACATTTCCTGTTGTGATTCCAAAGAGCAAACTGTCTTACAGCTGCAATTCTGCAACTTCTCTGACATGAAACAACCTGTCACTAACTAAGTGATCAGTCTGTGGTCCTGTATGGTCATGTTTAAATCCCCTGTTTGCATCAAGCTAGCTAGTTAGAATGTTGCAACGATATGGGGCATATACCATGGTGAAGTGATGTGAAACAGGCCATGTGAGGTAAGAATAGATCTTTCACATAGATCACTGTCATTGTTGTTTTCTTATTGCAGATTCCAACATGTGTTTTACCAAGAGTGTGTCCCGAAGCTTAAAAATAGAATTTACGTTAAAGGTCATTTCTACTGATCATATTTCCATTGTTGAGGTCTACTAGAATAGATTTACTTTTTGCAATTTTCCAAAATCACATTAGTTTCTCACACAGCATCTCTGTAAGTGTAAAGTATGTATTCACCAGTAGGCTATTTATTCTCTGTACTAAACGGCTTGTTGGAGCTCCTGCCCTCCCCCTCCCTGTGAGCCCAGTGTGCTCTGATTGGTCGGCTTGTTGCGAGGCTCGTTGCTGCGAGGAGCGGACAGGTTTCCGGGTAGGCGATACAGCGAAACTCATCCTGAGCACACACAAACACTCACAGCCGAAGTAAAAACAATAAGTGTGGCTTGATATTGAGTAAGAAAAACGTTGATAAACGCTGTGAGAATGGGTCTGCGGAGAGCATTTCTCCGCGATCCCAACTCGTCTATTACCAGCGTTCAGGGAGCTCTATGCAAGTCAATGGGACTCCCTTTTAGTTAGCCAAGGGATCCTGGTGTGTGAGGTGCTCCGCGGATTGGTCCATTTGGGCCAATCCGGTCATTTGTTGTTGATTTGGGTATTCACACGTCACAGAACCCAGGAAGCAAACAATTTAAAAAGAGAAATCTCCAACGAGGCGTTCTGGGGCATCATAGACAGGTCTTTTCTGTGTTAGAGTTTTACTCACTACAGGGTGTACTTTGAGGGTTTTGACTCTGCAGACCGTTTACATGCAGAAAAACCTTCATAACACACAAGGGGACGGGTAATAACCGGAAAAGCATGACATGGGACCTTTAAGACTCACCTGTAACAGTTTCAAAATCTTTTGTTAAGAAGACTAGAGATTTTAATGAGACACTTGAGCTTGCTTGTTACATGTTACTTCTTCTTCTTCCGCTTGTCTTTCATAAGCTTTGATTGTTCCGGGAGAAAAACACCAGGATTAATAACATTGATTTAAAAAAGTGTTCATGTTCTTTACTGCCTAACTTCTGTAAGTACTATTTTTTTTAATTGTATTATGCATACATATGTTTTAGCAGTGGTTGTACTGCTGCAGTTTAAAATGAGTATCCACGAGCAAACCAGTGCAACCTGGTCTTTACGGGACCAAATACTTCCTCTGGTCGCAATTTTTTTAAATGTTCCGGATAAAGACTGGAGATCTTCCACTCCAAAAACACGGGTGGTTTTGTTCATACAACAGTTTCAGAGTTAAACTCCACACAGACGCCTCGTATGGGCCCGTGTTGTCTGCTAATAGTGACCTTTAACAACCTGTTGTTGGTCAAA